CCTAGAATGGCAGATGAAAGCATGAAAGAAAAAAATAAAAATCTAAGAGCGGTTTTTTTTTTCCTCATAAAGCTCCATGAATAAAAAAAGGTGCTATATAAGCATAGATACTCTGAATTTATCATGTACCCTAAGAGAAAAAATAACACAATCATTAAGGTGTCAATTATTGCCTCATAAATCTCAGCATGGAAACCCAGGAAGGCAATATTAAATCTCAAATGAGCCAATAAAAATTTAATAAAGATGGCACTGAACTCCTCCACAAGTAAACAGACTCAAAGATAGTATTCTGAATTAGAAAGAGGAAAGCCAGATACGTCAACAATAAGCTTATGAGGGAAAATTAGAATATCTGTTGACTTCACAGGACAGTAGCCAACAGGCTGCTTTATGCGAATGTCATTGTCAACCAAGAATGGATGCAACTTAAGGATATCAAGAAAAGAGGTTAAATAATGTGATGAAAACCCCAAGATGAAGTATGAAGGTGATTTCTATGTATGCTTATTTTGTTTTTAGAATAAGGTATATTTAATCATGTTGGAAAGAATCACCTATGATTTTATTTTATTCTCAACTTCTCAATGAAAATGTTCAGTTCAGGCCTATACTCTTAACGTATTTTATTAAAGTCCCACATGAGCACCATGCAATAATTAGTTTCCCCGATGAGTTCACTCAACTATCAACCTTTATGAGTACTTATGGCTTTATGGTGTGGTTTGATGTCTTTTTTATTTTTTGAAAACAAATGGCATTTAAATGCCCTTCAAAAATTGGTAGGTGATATAAGTAAGCTGGAAAAATAAGACCATCATGGGCTCTTTTCTAACAAACATGTTGATGAAATGATAAGCAGAATGATGTTACCCATATGATACCTAGTAAGACACCATGGAGCATCCTAGTTTTATTCAAGTACTGCCCAACTAATGCAATTTATGTCCTGAATGTGCATTAGAATATCCTGAATTTCAGTGGCCTGTTAACAGGTAAACAGTGCCACAGAAAACACAGCACTGGGTAGAGGAAAGTGGGTAGAGGAAAATCCCCTGAGCTTCAACGATCTTAGATGAGGTCTTGCTTTGATTTTCTATTTTATATATATTTCATGTTAAAATATCTGGCCGGGCATGGTAGCTCACGCCTGTAATCCCGAGGCCAAGATCACGGGGTCAGTAGTTTGAGACTAGCCTGACCAACATGGTGAAACCCTGACTCTACTAAAAATACAAAAATTAGCCAGGTGTGGTGGTGCATGCCTGTAATCCTAGCTACTAAGGAGGCTGAGGCAGGAGAACCACTTGAACCCGGGAGACAGAGGTTGCAGTGAGTCGAGATCACACCACTGCACTCCAGCCTGGCGACAGAGCACGACTCTGTCTCAAATAAATAAATAAAAATAAAATATCTTACGTATAATTATTATTATTATTTTTTTTTGAGACGGAGTCTTGCTCTGTAGCCCAGGCCGGAGTGCAGTGGCCGGATCTCAGCTCACTGCAAGCTCCGCCTCCCGGGTTCACGCCATTCTCCGGCCTCAGCCTCCCGAGTAGCTGGGACTACAGGCGCCCGCCACCTCGCCCGGCTAGTTTTTTTGTATTTCTTAGTAGAGACGGGGTTTCACCATGTTAGCCAGGTTGGTCTCGATCTCCTGACCTCGTGATCCGCCCGTCTCGGCCTCCCAAAGTGCTGGGATTACAGGCTTGAGCCACCGCGCCCGGCACGTATAATTATTTAACAACATGATTTGTTCTAATCTATGCAAGACAATGTCAATATTAATATCTATGATTTGGATCCTTTGAAAAGTAATTTAAATTTAAGTATTTAAAGAACAGTTTGGCACAATATAGATCATGCTTACTTATATATTAGTCTGTTCTTTACTTGAAAATACCCCTAAACTACTTAAATAACCATAGAGAACATGTACCACATGCTTGTGTTTGCATTTTATCTCTTCTTCTATACTCTAACGGTCCTTCAGGGCAGGTCCTCTCTTTCTCACGCCTAATTCAATTTTGTGTCCCTGAACTGTCTAGCACAGAACCCTCCATGCAGAGTGAATATTCAATACATATCTGTACAAGTATAGTCAGAGAAGCTCTTATTACAACACAGCATTCTATATAAAGAATCAATTTCTGTGTTCCCAACAGGTTGTTCATAATAACAATATTTGCTTGATCTAGTTATTAAGACTTCCCATAAATGAGCCTATATAACAACAAAATATTTCTGTTCTCTGGTTGTGTGCTTTAAAATTTCAATTAACCAGAATTCAGATTCTCCCACTTAGCAGCTGTTTATTCTGCATTCCAATTCTTAAAAGCAAGTTAATCACAGAAAAAAAAGATACAAGTGTTGATTAAAAATAATTTTGTATCAGTTATACATTCAGCCTAAAACTATTTATTTGATGGTTTTATTATGCTTTTAAATGATTATTCAAGTTTTCAACAATGACCTTAAAGCATCACAAACACTCAAATTATTTTTTAAAAAATCATATATTTAATAAGGAAAGAAAGTAGGTTAGTATAGTTCAGAATTTTTTTAAAAAATTAAGAATGAAGATAAAAGAGTCTTCTAATTAGCTTTTAAGTTAGCAAAAAATGTTCAATTAACCACTAACATATAAGTTAACTGCCTGAAATATTTCATTTGACTATGGTTTATTTTACTATGAAAACATCAATACACCATTAGCCACAAACCTTCAATAACTAGAGGCCCTTGCCCCCAACTCCACCTCTTATCTGCCTATTTGGATCAAGGGGTGTTGATGTTAAAGGCTGAAGAAATTTAACAGCCTCCAGGACAATCTCCTGTTTAACACGGAATGAAGTGACATTCCCTTTCCTGGAGATAGACAAAAAGCTCAGAAAAAAACATTTAACTTTTAATGTCACCTTGTTCAAGAGCTTCTGGCAACAATCACCTCCTTCTAGCAAGCCTCCTGCTCCATCTTGGCTCAGCAGCTGCCCCACCATCTTCTCCTCCCCTTTCCTACTTTGGTGACCACCATTCTGCCTGTACCTTTTTCTATCCTGCTTGCCCCTCCACCCTCACCCTTGAGATCCCTCCCATTCCGCTTAATTTCTACTCGCACCCGATCAAACTTGAGTCTAGTGAACCACTCTGGCTTATCAACATTTTAACTGCACAGATGCCTTTGCAAATGATTCCTCCAATATCCTAAGAGAATTTAGTGCAATGCTCAAAAGATCTATGCAGGTGGTAATGTAAGATATAAAATACATGGTTGCCTCATATAAAAGACACTCCCGAAATAACTTTGAACTTAGAAATGTATCAGAAAACATCAATGATTATTTTGATAGTCTATGTTTAAAGCCTTTGAAAGTCATTTTAAAAATAATTTTGAAAATACTTATATCTAAATAAAGTATGACAATGTGTCTTATCTACTTAGTACCTATGTGTATAAATCTTTGTGTAAGACACTGTCAGGACACGAGGATGATTGAATACATGAGATCTGTACATTAAAAAATCCCAATTAAAGGTAGAAAACAAGATAAAAAGGTAGAGATACGTAGAACAAGTGTTATAAGGCACATGAGATTACATCCAGCTATAAGAGTTGATCAAATGGCATTTGAGATGGCACTTGAAAAATTTAGGTAGATAGCTTGGTGAGAAGGAGCAAAAGAAATGGCATGAGAAGGAAGGCCACCAAGGTGGAAAATCACAGATCATACTAAGAGAATGGTGAGCAGTCCAATTTGGCTAGAAAACTGTGTAAGAAAAAGGACTATGCCCCGCTCTGCATGCCGAACACGGGGTTTCTGACAAACTCATAAGAGAACTAAAGCTTCAGGGGTAGAATAGAATGCCAGAGGAAAGAGGGGTGCAGAGATAGAAGATGGTCAAGAACAGGTAACTAACAGGCATACCTACATTTAGAGGGCCTTAATGTCCTTGAAACTGCTCAGGAAAAAATGGGACTATTGTTAAGCACCAGATTCTTTAATGAGAGCCACATGGGAAAAAAAAAGAATATTAATCTAAAACAAAAGGAATAAATTATTCAATATGTCAAATTCTAAATATCAGTATGTGAGAACATCATTTAGCTATCACTAAAGACATTTCTTATTCTGTTGAGAAGATAAACTATTTTTTGTTATTAACTTCTATCTAGAATGATGGTGAATTCTATAACTCATTTCAAAACAATGAATGATAAGGCAGGAGTCTGTTTAACTAAGCTACCTAATTCACATAGACAAAAAGGTTTTCATGAAGACCCGCACATGAGGTGCATAAATCTAAAAGATCTACCAAGTTCAGTTAAGCAGAATGCAAATAACAACAAAAACTATATCAGTAGCATTTTCCATTAGACTTAAAGGTAGGAAGAACTTCTAGTCAATACACTGCATCTAATTTACTGACCTCTAAGGGTAGAAAGCATGGCTCAATCATCTTCGAATCCCAGAAGTTTGGCATAGTATCTGGTTACTTAGGCTTCCCTATAAACGTTTTATGAATAAGAAAAATGAAGAAAGAAGGAGGACCTAATAAGTAGTATTTCAGATTCACACAGCATTGGTTGTGTTGTCATAAAACACAATGTGCTCATGAATAATGCTCAAATTATGTCCTTCATAGACAATGAACCATCAGAGAAAGACTGAGCTACACTTACTAAACTATGTTTTCTAAGGTCTGACAATGTACAAATAGATATTTTTAAATAATTTTAATATGCATTAGAACTAAAGGTTTTTCTTTCCACTTAATTCTAAAATTAACTAACTAGAATACATATGTCCGTATTTTGAACATCTCACTTAGTTGATGAACTGGAATATATCCCAATCTTTGAAGATTTTCTTTGATTTTTTAAACTATATACTGAATTCTAAAAGTCATAATTCTGGAAATTTTCATAAGGAATGAAAGCCACTGCTTAACATACTGTAATAGTTGACTGCCTGATAAGACATGAAGATGATTCTTGATACCTTTATGGTTTCAGTGGGCACTCCAGGCTCTGGAACTTTATCCAAGTAAGTGGTCAAGTCTTGATCGACATGTTCAAACACTAAAGTTAGTTTGGTTTCTCTGTCTGTTCGTGACACTGTGCACACATCAAACAACCTAGAAGAAAAAACAAAGAGGTTAAGTAGGTGGCAATAAGCAAAGAAGTAACCTGTATGTTTTATACATACTGCTCAATTTGGTCTCATAATAGAAAAAACAAAAGGCCAGTGTTGATCATTTCTTATGATCATATGTAAAAATACCAAATGAGATCTGATACTTTAATAAAAATATGAAGTTCAGGAGAGGGGAACTCAGAGTGTGTGGTTAAGCACGAGAACATCTATAGTAACAATGAGAAAACAACGCCATTGGAGCACAAGAACGCTTGGAGAGTTTTCTTAGTTAGGACCTTAGATAGAACTTGCCAATGGGGATAATTTCAAAAACTTGATGTCTAGGCAAAATATATTTCTTCTTAGCTCACAGTTTGAGAATTATTAGAGATAGATTGAGCATCCTTTGGAGATGCTGAAGGCTGTAATCAAGATTTTCCTGGAATTTAAGGTGTCACAACCACATCTGTGAAAACAAATATGATGGAATATGGAGAAATTTTTAGTTTATTTCTAAGACAGCCCTTATCCTGCTGAGTCAAATCATTCCCTGGAAAGGGCACACATTCTTAGTTTTTAAAATTCCAAAGCCATGTTAATCAACATTGTGAAATTTAAACATTTTCTTTTTCGGGGGTAGGGGGACCTGTATTGGTAAACTATATTGCCCTTAAATAATAAAGCAACAGATTAACAAATATTTTTGATGGGTGAATCCAGTTTCTTCCATAAAAATCTTAAAATAAGTTGAAATTTAAGTTTTAAAAACTAAGCCTTCAGGAGTCAAAAGAATATTCAAGCCAAAGGACAAAATTTCCTTTAGTTTCAACCAAAGTACACTATTTAGCACAACAGATTCTCAACAAATGTTTGAAGAACTAAACTACCCATAAATAAGTTGTAGGTACATTTCTTAACAAGAATGTAATATAAATACTAAGAAAAAGCTAATAAAATACTATTCATATTACTTTAATTTTTTTTAAAAAATTGAATAAATGCCTTCTTCAAAGAAACTAACTATAAATGTGCATAGAGTCCAATAACTAATGCACAGGGTTGACTATCAATTATGCTGCTTATATATTACCTCCCTTAATTTTTAAAAATTATATTTTAAGTTCTGGGATACATGTGCAGAATGTGCAGGTTTGTTACACAGGTATACATGTGCTATGGTGGTTTGCTGCACCCTTCAACCGTCATCTACATTAGGTTTTTCTCCTAATGCTATCTCTCCCCTAACCGCACCCCTCCCTGCCCCCAACAGGCCCTGGTGTGTGATGTTCCCCTCCCTATGTCCATGTGTTCTCATTGTTCAACTCCCACTTATGAGTGAGAACATGTGGTGTTTGGTTTTCTGTTCCTGTGTTAATTTGCTACAATGATGGCTTCCAGCTTCACCCATGTCCCTGCAAAGGGCATGAACTCACATCCTTTTTTATAGCTGCATAGTAGTCCATGATGTATATGTGCCACATTTTCTTTATCCAGTCTATCACTGATGGGCATTTGGGTTGGTTCCAAGTCTTTGCTATTGTGAACAGTGCTGCAATAAACATATGTGTGCATGTGTCTTTATAGTAGAATGATTTAGAATCCTTTGGGTATATACTCAGTAATGGTATTGCTAGATCAAATGGTATTTCTGGTTCTAGATCCTTGAGGAATTGCCACACTGTCTTCCACAATGGTTGAACTAATTTACACTCTCACCAACAGCGTAAAAGCATTCCTGTTTCTCCACATCCTCTCCAGCATCTGTTGTTTCCTGACTTTTTAATGATTGCCATTCAAACTGGCAGGAGATGGTATCTCATTGTGGTTTCGACTTGCATTTCTCTAAAGACCAGGGATGATGAGCTCTTTTTACATATGTTTCTTGGCCACATAAATGTCTTGAGAAGTGTCTGTTCATATTCTTCACCCACTTTTTGATGGGGTTGTTTCTTTCTTGTAAATTTGTTTTAAGTTCCCTGTAGATTCTGGATATTAGCCCTCTGTCAGATGGACAGACTGCAAAAATGTTCTCCCATTCTGTAGGTTGCCTGTTCACTGATGATAGTTTCTTCTGCTGTGCAGAAGCTCTTTAGTTTAATTAGATCCCATTTGTCAATTTTGGCTTTTGTTGCCATTGTTTTTGTTGTTTTAGTCATGAAGTCTTTGCCCATGCTTCTGTCCTGAATGGTATTGCCTAGGTATTCTAGGGTTTTTATGGTTTTAGGTCTTACGTTTAAGTCTTTAATCCACCTTGAATTAATTTTTGTATAAGGTGTAAGGAAGGGGTCCAATTTCAGTTTTCTGCATATGGCTAGCCAGTTTTCCCAACATCATTTATTAAATAGGGTATCATTTCCCCATTGCTTGTTTTTGTCAGGTTTGTCAAAGATCAGATGGTTGTAGATATGTGGCATTCTTTCTTGTTTTTCTTTATTTTTTGGTGATGGAGTTTCGCTCCTGTTGCCCAGGCTGGAGCGCAATGGCACCATCTTGGCTCACCACAACCTCCGCCTCCCAGGTTCAAGCAATTCTCCTGCCTCACCCGAGTACTACTCATACCCGAGTGGCTGGGATTGCAGGCATGGGCCACCATGCCCAGCTAATTTTGTATTTTTAGTAGAGACAGGGTTATTTCATGTTGGTCAGACTGGTCTCGGAACTCCTGACCTCAGGAGATCTGCCCACCTCAGCCTCCTAAAGTGTTGGGATTACAGGTGTGAGCCACCATGCCCGGCCATGTGGCATTATTTCTGAGGCTTCTGTTTTGTTCCATTGGTCTATATATTTGTTTTGGCACCAGTACCATGCTGTTTTGGTTATTGTAGCCTTGTAGTCTAGTTTGAAGTCAGGTAGCATGATGCTACCTGACTTAGGATTGTTTTGGCTATATGGGCTCTTTTTTGGTTCCTTATGAAATTTAAAGTATTTTTTTCTAATTCTGTGAAGAAAGTCAATGGCAGCTTGATGGGGATAGCACTGAATGTATAAATTACTTTAGGCAGTATGGCCATTTTCACAATACTGAGTCTTTGTGTCCACGAGCATGGAATGTTTTTCCATTTGTTTGTGTCCTCTCTTATTTCCTTGAGCACTGGTTTGTAGTTTTCCTTAAAGAGGTCCTTCACATCCCTTGTTGGTTGTAGTCCTAGGACCTCTGCTAAACTTTTAATGCCGTGCTGGTTCACCATGTCATCCTACTGCATTTCTGGGCTTTATGGACACCACATTTGGTATTTCTCTGTGAATCTATACTAAATTTTAAAGGAAACTAAAAACAAACAAATAAACAACAACAAAAAACACCAAAAAAACCCCCCACTACTGTAATTAGGTTACATCTGGCAGGTCAAAAAACAGAACACCAACAACTACACACACTTCATAGCCAGATCCACACTTCTTTTTAATTATGGGCAGTTTGGGGTGAGTCATACAACTCCATTGAAATTAACCAGAATCCACTGAAAATTTTTTCCTCACATTTATCTACTTCCAACATTCTGGTTTTTAAGTTTTAATATCCATTCCTAAACTTAGTATTTTCCCCTAATGTTACTTATTCTGGAAAATTATTCCAATAAAGTAAAAATTCCTAACAGATTTATTAAAGATAGTACCATAAATCATAATAAGTTCCACACTCTAAAAATATGATTGCTATTATGCATGGATTTAATATGTGGAAAGTTTATCAAAACAGTTCTTTTGGCTTGAAAATTCAAGATAACTACAATTATTCACAGGCTTTTTAAAGCCAGTTTATTGATATTAAATCCACATACTTGGACAACTTCACTCTTTTCTTCCTATTGAAGAAGAAAATGGAGTTCCACAATCTCCAACTTTCTTTATATCTGCACCTTGTATTTTTGTAATAAAAGAGCAGTGAACCAAAAATGGCATGTCCCTAAAGTCAAATACAAACACAGAGCTGTTTCATACTATGACCACTTCAGTTGTGTTTCTGAAACATTACTTTACAAATATTTCGCATTATAATTAATACATTTAGTGAAAAAATTACATTGCTTACCACTACCTGGAATTAATAGTAATTTTAGTAACTCCAGTTCTTACTGCATTTATAGCTTATCATATACATAAACGATACTATAGTAATTTCCACAAGAAAAAAAATTCTGATGGGGGAATAACTGGAGAATAAAGTGATCCTAAAACACTGCTGAAACAAAAAGTCATCTGCCCCCTAGACCGTTGTCTTAGAAGTTACCTAACAACCCTGGCAGTATGCCCTGTTGCTTCATCTCACTGAAACCGTTTTCAAGCACTCTTTGCATGACACAATTTAAAAATAACATCTAACCCACCCAAGTTGCTTTCCTCAGAGTTATACTGCTCTCTTCAAAATATTAAGACTCATTGATGCCACCTGCAGCAACTGGACTCCAGGCCTCAGTTTCAGTGGATGCTCAAGATAGGAAAGGTGAGCTCACTGAAGCCACTATTAATTGTCCTAAATAATAAACCTTAGAGAAAAAGCACTCATTTCAATCGGTAGTTTTTAAAACATGAAATTTTAAAGAGATGTGTAACAGTCCATAGAGCAGAACATTTTCATGTAAATTTTAATGTATATACTTGCATACTCTTAAAAAACGGTATTAGGTAGAAGTGACTCCTCCAGGTTCAAGGAAATAATCCTTTTTAATTTCTAACTTCATTTGGGAAATGGAGCATATTAGAGACTCCTCAAGACATTCACAAATGGCATTAACGGACATCAAAGTCCTAAGGATGCCTGTAAGATACTCTCTTTTTTGGCTCCAGTGCTGGCTAGCCATCATCCACATCCTACAGACCCAGTACTCCATGGAAGACATCTGGGGAAATATTGCTTTTCACTAAACCATGAAATTTTGTCTGACTTAAATTATGTCTGATTAATGGTTAGCAAACATTATTGTAGTAAAAATTAACAGTTACATTAGTCACAATGCGTAGGAAATGCATTTTGAATCAACGGTTGTAAACATTAATCTT